GCCATAAAGATAGCAGGCCTACTACAGGCACGTTGTGTGTAGTGCACGTGTAAGAGCGTACCGTGTTTGGCAGTCTTGGCTGTGCTCTCATAGACAGAGCCAGGTGCAGCTCCGCACAGGAAGGGGAACTGCAGCCATGTTGCTGTGGACTTAAACTCCTTGAAGAGGTTAGAGAATGATACACGGATCACCTGACCCTCCTGGTCCACCAAAGTCGAGAGAAAAGACAAGAGATTTGACGGTTATCCTAATTTTCATATGTATTTCCCAAACTTATCCATCAAATATTCTCTCTGGCTCATCCTCAGGTCCGAGCATAAACATTTTGGAGGACAGCAGCAGAAATGGGAAAAAAAGCAAAATTAATGATAATGAAAATTTATTTAGTTTATAGCAGACATGCACATCCAGAGAGATGGCCAAATGTAGGGTTAGAAGTATTTCCCAAATACTTCTAACCCTACACGCCTCCTACGTGTTAAGGTACGGCCTTTGATGATGATTCTCTATCAAATAGCACCATCATGTGGCCATTAATGGTGTAGAAATAACCACTGCATTACAGCCACTTATCAAATGACAACATACTGGCCTTAATTTTACATTATGCAAGTTTAATTTCAGATTGTGAATGTACGGATTCACATGATTCAGAAAGGTTGGTCCTCTTTCAAGTCTTTATTTTGGCACCTCACTATGGGATATGCCTTCCCACGTATTCCTCAGAAGTAATTTTCCACTATGCCAGCCCCACTGACTGGCTGACAGATGTGATGTTTGCACGCTACCCCACCCTGGTATATAACACAGTGACACAACATTATGTCCTCATTCAAAAACTTCTTGCGTCACACCAGAAGCCTGTCTCACTATCCTTCCTATCGGAATCAGGAACAAACTCAGTCGATGGGCTGTACAGTACTGACAATTAATAAGATGTTCAATAAAGCTATCAGTTATCATGATGACAATATGAGAAGTCACAAATTATTATTACAATAGTGTGCCAAAGACTGGTTGTGATGCAACTACAGACTTTTTTTTTTGACGTAGAAACAAAAAATCTACTAATATGTAAGATGACACAACCTGTTGAATTCACACTCCACACTTCAAACAAACAGGGGGAAACATATCACCAGGAGTTATGGTGTCCACCACTACTGGTAGAAACAAAAAAAAGGCAGAGTCCATCCTTCCTCTTTACTCCTCTCCTTCTGTACCAGTCTAGAAGAAACGTTGTGAGTTCAGCATTAAACTGCATACCTTTACTTGCCAAGAGCTGTCTCCAGCTATGGAAAGCAACACCAGTGTTAACTCTTGTTTTGCTTCTTTTTATGTCACTGTTTTTTTTTTTTGCTGTCAAATGTGGCGTCTTGCCTGGAGCGGGCGGCAGTGGTGATGATGGTTTTCAGGTGAAAAGTACATATTTGTATCTTTTCATAACTTAATGTTTTAAAACAGAACAATAAAATAAAAAGCCTGGAGGCGAGACGGGGTGTGTGGAGTCAATACAACTTAGAAAATATCATTTCAATGGATTATGGTACAATTATGTTCCCTGACTAAAGGTACTGAGATGTACCCTTGAGGGTACCACCCCAGCAACAAGACCGGCACTGCCCCAGTGACAGTCTTGTACCTTTTTTCTCAGAGTGCAGTTGTACATTTTATATATTTTTATATATTTTATATCATTATACATTTTAGGAAGCTGACACTTCAAAAATTTAAATGTCTATAAGTTTCTGGAACACAGCTTCTATAATGCAGCAGTTTCATCTGCTAGTGTTTCTCTTGAACTTTCTTCAGGATTATAAGCTGCAAAAGACCATGAAGAACACTCCAGTAGCATTCTCGAAAACTGTCAGGATCTAGGCTGCATGCCTGGCCAAATACGAAGGACACTTTTCATTGGAACATTCTTCAGTGATATAGTGGTCTAGAAATTAGTGACAGTGTAAACTTTTGGAAATCATGTTCAAAGCAGGGGTTTCGTGACAGTTTTTCTCTATGTTATCATACTGGATTCAGCTCCACCCAGTCAGAATGATTCGGACCACTACTGCTTCTGCATACGATAATTCTGGACATCTGAATATTACAATTTAAAATTGAGAAGTTTAATGTTTTTTGTCAATACCATTTGAGAGAGAGAGAGAGAGAGAGAGAGAGAGTGAGAAAGAGAGAAAGACAGAGAGACTGATTAACTGCTGACTTTTTTGGAATCAAGTCTACTTAGGTTTCACTTTTCAGGACAAAATTCTCAGCAGATGCTGAATGATGTGAAAAAAACAGGCTAAACCTAATAGAATAATTTAATAGAATAATTTTTTTTTTTCCTCTATAAATCCACACAACAATATTTTAAAGGGTTCTATTTAATGCACAGACATGAGTTTATAGTGTACAAGAGTGAAACTAAACGTATTTTTAACCGAGCTGTCAGTTCACAACAAATACATAAACATTCCTGATACTGTTAGTCTGCAAAATCTGGCTTTCGAAACTTCTAATCAAGAACGGGGCATTGATTCATTTTGCTTAAATGATTCCAATGATTTGGAATAAGCATCACTCCTAGAAATGTAGCCTTTTGGTACACAGTTAATATGTGTAAAGTTCCTGTCAAATGGTACATTACTGTGTTCTTTTATGTAATCATTTACAGTTATAACACCTCTCTTGAAATATCTGTGCCCATGCCTGCTCTTCCCCCACTCATATCATCCAAAGTTAATTGTATGTCACTGTACCTCCCCGCTTACCTCCGCAGCAACATCCAGATGCACTACGAAGTGTTTATTGGGGCTGGGTCTGAAGAGCAGGTAGAGGTAACGGCCTGTGAGACCCAATGACTGGCTGCTGGTTCTGGGTAGCAGAATGAAGTTGCTGGCTGGAATGGAGCCCCGTATACGGAACACTGAACACTTGAGTGTCTTATCCTTCCAGAGTAACAGAATAGTAAACAAACAAACAACAATTATGAGATGTAATTAAACGGTGTGGAAAGTCATTTTTCTGAAATTATGTTTAGGAAGCAAACATTTAATGCAAAACATCAAAATCATTTTAAAATCTCAATGGATGTTAGATTATTCCTTTAAGCACTTGAGAATTCCAGAATATATACTAGGGATGCATGATGGGAATTGGCCAAGTTTTTGCTCCAAATACAATTTTATTACGTAAATAATATGAAATATGTAAGCGCATTCATGCTGTGTTTGAATGCTTCTGCATAATATGCATGTCCCATTGTGTTAAAAGGCCAGTTACCTCTTTCGACGCAGCACTTTATTTGATATTCATGTAACTTAGAAAGACAACTGATTTTTCTTAAGATGCCAGTTCGGCACAAGAGCAAATAACATTATTTTTACTGCAAATTTGGCTAAGAAAAACATCAGTAGTAGTGTGTTTGATGCTGTTAAGCCCAGACAGTGTGAGCGTCAGGTTAAAAAAATGCTAATAAAATCATCCAACATCCAGTTTGCACAGAATTATGACTGGTGCACCCCGAATATATACACTTGATTTTTCAGTAGTATTTTACCATGTAGGTTGTAACATCTCCTTCTTTGCTGGCCTTCCTCCATTCATCCACTTTTAGGTGCTTAAACAGATTTACATAAGGATGTTGCCATGCTGGGAGGGCAGGAAAAAGAGAATGACAGAGAAATTTAGAATCAATGAAAGGAATAATGGCAAAACAATGAAACACCTGAACAGCAATATATAGCTAAATCTTAGGTAGGGACAAGTTGCTTTCTCCCTGTATAGATTTCAATAGACAGAAATCAATTTATTTGATTTCATATATACTTTATTAAAGCCTATGTGCAGCTAACAGACTATGGCTTGCTCAGCATTATCAGAGGACAGTGGGGAAACCAAAAATCATCTTCATGTAAAAGTTCAATGAAACAATGATTCCTTGTGATACTTCTGGTCTAGTGAGAGGTGTCACCAACAGCAAAGCTGTCCAGGTGCTGAACCAAAAGAACAGAATGACATTAAACTTGAGAAATTAATTAAGGACTAAATGCAAAGGACTAAACTGCAACTGAATAAAAGGCAGATTTCTTTGTTAATTAATCAGAAAATCAGAAAACTATCAATCAAAATTGTACTTAATCACATAGAGCTGAGTCAGTGTTTCAGTTGCTATCCACCTATGATAGTAACTGACATTGTAACCAAGGTAAGTAACATCAATAAGTTGCAACCTGTAATTCAACTAGGTAGTAACGTTAATAGAGGGAAACAGAGCAAGACCGATACAATGCAACATATCTGGAGTATTAAATATGTCTGCTATTTTTATATTTGTGTGCTAATCTTACCTCTGGAAGACATCGTTAACGTGCAATTGGTTGAGCAGACGGTTGGGACGTTTTATCCTGGTGATACCAACAAGCTAACAAATGCTAGCTTAAAGTTTCATAGTACCTGTAGGTTAAATAAATTGCCACTTTCCGCTTTTTGTTCGTTTGGTCCGTTAATGCTCAGCGTCACACTGTAAATAAAACGACTTCAAGTATTAAACAGCTTCATTTCATTCACAAAAATCTGTTGTGGTTAAAGTGCTTCTTGCGCTCCGCCTGACATTTTGTTGACAAAATCCAGTCGCCTCCCGCTGCAGCAGCCGCCGCTTTCAAACGGCATGACGCAGCGTCCCCAGCGTCATTCTGGGAAATGTAGTTGAAAGTATCTACTCAGCATTCCCTGCAGTAGAAACACTTAGCTTGGACGTTCATTGGCAACTTGGTGTAGCTAGGCAGCTTATCTCGATTACTGCAACTTTTCCTCCGTTAGAATCAAAATATCACAGAGCTTGCACACAGATACATCAGTGTTGCTGGAGTTTTTAAACACCTCAGTGTCACTGCTGTACTGAGAATAGTCCATCAATCCAAAATAGTCAGCCAAAAGCGTCCTGTTGGGCAGCGTCCTGTGACCATGTTGTTTTAATGTTATGGTCGATCGCTGTACTTTGTAATAATGCTTGCATGGAGTGGAGATGCCCTTGTAGGTCTTAGCCACTGCCCTTTAAATGTCTTTACAGTTTACACGGACCATACACACATTGCTCATCTAGTCTGCACTTTTCCGAATGATTAACCCAAGCTGCAGCTTTGAGCTCTTCTTGCTTGAAAAAAGCAGTGTGTCGCGTTTCGTTTTACTTTTAGTTCGTTTGTCCTCCTCGGCGTGCCGTAGCTGCTTCTTGCTGCCATAGTGACGGTCGCGGACAGACGCTTCGTAAGTTCTTATTGCAGAAATAACGGGTAAATATACTCGTACAGCATTATTGACCGTATTAACGGATTAAAAGAAGATTATAAAACTAATACGCCGTTTCATTATCGACATTATTTTGGTTGTAATGAGAGAAAGGTAGACATTTTATCTCATGCTAATAACGTTTAGCTACATTACGTGCCCATCGTCAACCTGGCAGATCTTAACGTTATTTTATTTACAGACATCGACAAATTTAATGTTCCGTTATCTTAAATTCGGTCTCTGTAGTGTCTCCCTGTTCCACCTAGCTATGGTCCCTTCAGAAAGAGCTGCTTGGGACGGACATGGGAGTTCCAGTGGTCATCCGGAGATAAAAGCTGCACACTGCAGTTTACATTCCCAGCTAGCGTTACATGTTAGCAGCGATGGATCTTTTAATTCCCTACATTAAATTTACCACAATAATAGTGAGAATAATAAAAAATACTACACGGTCCTGTCTGACTAAATCTGGTCTTGAATTTAGAGACGTTCTTCCATTTCACTTTGGGACTCCGAGTCCCGAGTAGTTTCTAAACACGGTGAAACATAGATGTCGTAGTATTACTGAAACATGGAAATGTGTTAAAGAGTTTTATTGCACAGCAGCAACCTCATTCTGTGGCGTATAGTAACCTAACCTCTCAGAAATCAGTCAGTGAAGTATCATATACAAAAGCTAATATACTGAAAATGTATTAGAATGCATTCTGTTTGTAATTCTGTATATTATGGAATATACTGACAGCTCATTAGAATACAGTTCTGTGCAGTAATACAAATAAACATAAATAGGGTAAAAAGTAACAAGAATTTCTTGTTTTCAAAAAGTAGTTGGGATTCTGTGAGCTGGTTTACTAGAAAACTGGATTTTTTTGTCCGTGCCCTGTTCATCACGTGTTTAAATTCACCAGTAGCAGACTGTATAAGTACTTAGTTTTAAAGCATTGTTTAGCCAAACCAGGTATTAAATGATGACTACAAGTTATATCAGGCTGCCTCAAGGAGATGTTTGGGAATTAATACTTATTGCAATAATGATTGAATAAATAAACGTGCAGTTACATAGCTTTTTAAGTATGATGTAGAGTGACTGAGACTTTTGCACATTACTTTATATTTCATGTTTATAGAGGACAACAGTAGTAGCGCCATTATTTTGCATAAAATACCTACAATATACTGTGATTTTCTACAAAAATATCACTTTTTCCCCTTTTTTGTCTGAACATATTTTACCTAAGGAGAAAGGGGACAATATCTCGTGAATTACAACAGCAAACACAAAAGAAGCAGGCTGTAAAAAAAAAAGTAATTTTATATGCAACAAAATGTGTAACTAACTAGCTGGGCAGGCCCAAGTCTAAGACTAGACATCGATATTTGGCTGAAATTGTTACTAAATTTGCTGTTGTCGATTCCACAGGAGACCAAGGAAGGTCTACGCTTACTCGGACAAAGATATATTTGGAAAAGGAGGAAAGGCAATCATGTCTTTCAGAGATCTGAGAAGTAAGCACGTGCAAAAGTGATTTATGTATATTTATTTTGTTATTGTATGAGGTGTTTGCAAATGCATCCACGATGAACATCATTATGTAGATGAAATACTGAAGGCCAGTGTCTGGTTTTAAGACTGTTTCATGTAATCAGAGATACAGCACAAGCTCAGTTCTTGAGGTGACACACTCTCGTCAGAATCTCTTCTCAGATTCTTTTTCTGCATTGTATTGAATAATTGCCTACTCGTCTGTTTTCTTGTAGATTTTACAGAAATGATGCGAGCACTGGGATACCCTCGACTCATCTCCATGGAGAACTTCAGAGCTCCAAACTTTCCTTTAGTGGCAGAGATTCTCATCTGGCTCGTCAAGAGGTTAAACATTACACTTTGTGTATGTGTGTATGAGAGAGTGAATGTGTCAAAGTGATGCAAAGTAGCAGCACTTGTGAATGCGAGAATGCTGATATGAATGAAACGGAAAGTTTAAGATGCACCTTTACAAATGAAGGACTGTGTATTTCTGAGGGAATGAGTGTGCGTTTGTGAGTGTGGCCAGGGTTTGTTAAACCAGTATGTAAAGACCAGTCAAGGGCACTCCTGATTGAATGCATGTGGTTCTCAGAGATGTCGATCTAAAAGCTCATTCTTAAATGCGTGAAAATGTAAAACATAAATAGCATGTACTGTTAAAATGCCTCCTTACCAGTAGTTTCAGGAGTCAGCAACTGCTCAGGGTATCGTCGCTGTCCAAAAACATGTATCTCAATTTTTTTTGTCTGCTGTCTTTTACATTATGTTAAGATTTAATAATAAATGGACCAATAGAAATGTTCCAGAATCACTTAGGGGAAAAAAAAACTCTTACAGAAAAAAACATACGAGACTGTCACTGGAGCAGTACCCCTTGTCACTGGGGTGACACCCACAAGGCTACATCTCAGTACCTTTAGTCAGGGAACATAATTGTACCAAAATCCATTGAAATTGTATTTTCTAAGTTGTATTGACTCCACACATCCCGTCTCATCTCCAGGCTTTTTATTTTATTGTTCAGAAATGCAGTTAAGAGACTGGGGGGATACTCCGGAGAATTGCAAGTTTTTTGGTCACTGGACAATTCTATATATTTTTTCATCATTTTCATGTCTTCATTGATATTCTAAAATGTGGAAATCGATACAAAATAAAGGGCATCGTACAGTAAGTAGTTGCAGTCATATTCAAAAGTTTGGGTGCCCCTGGTCAAGTGACGTTTTGTTGATAGTGAAAATAAGTTAACACATCCTCCACAGAGAACACACTTCTGTGCATTTTAATACACAATTACTGTTTATTTGCTGATTTTAACATACTGGGAAAAATAACACAAAATGTAGCCGGGGGTGTGCAAACTTTTGCATAGGACTGTATGCTGTTTCTGAACGTCTATACAACATCCTACTTGAGGGCAAAATCTTAATTTCATATGAACAAAAATTTACTAATTTTGATCAGGAAAAAAATCTCTCCACTTACTTCGCCTTTTCTACAAACGAAGTCGAATACATTTTGAAAAATACTTAGAGAGGACCCCTTATGGCTCAGAGGCCCTGAGTGTTTGCCAATCCGCTTATAGGAAGAAAGGGCCCTGTTGTCATGCAGCGTCTTTCAGCAGTTAGAATGTGTTATATTGACAAGTGATGATGACTTCTTCATTCTTCCACAGGTACGAACCACAGATGGACATCCCCAGTGATGTGGACACAGAGTCCGACAGAGTGTTCTTTATCAAAGCTGTTGCCCAATTCATGGTAATATTCAATTTACATATTTTTCACCCATCATTTTTGCAGATTTCACCATGTCAATGTGATTCAACACCTATGTTTGTTTGTGATGATCAATGTTTGGTTGATAAACTCAATTTTACATGAAGCTCAATCAAATGCCAGACTGCATTATAAGGGTGGCTGTACTGTTTGTGTTACACTAGGCAACAAAGGCACATATTAAACTGAACCTCAAGCGCTTATATCAGGCGGACGGTTATGCAGTGAAAGAGATGCTGAAGATCACCAGTGTCCTCTATAATGCCATGAAGACCAAAGAGAGCTCCGCCGGTGACCTCAACCTTGATGAAAACAGCAGCAAGTTCAAATTCGACCTGGGATCAAAGGTGAGAGAGCAGAGGCCAAAGGAAGCTGGTTGATGAGACTTCATGCTAATTTTCAAATAATCAATTATCAGAAATAGCTTTTGTAATGTTACAGAAACTACAGGCCTGATGCACAAACAAAGCAAAAGATGGCAACAGTGAAATTAAAGGGTCATTCCAGCCTAAAAGCAGCATTTAATATATTATTTGTCATGTTATGCAATGTTCTGTAGTGCAGCTTCACATCCCTCAGGCTCATTGATTTGACAGGATTCACAATGTTGTATACTTTTAGAGTTTTTGCCCATCAATGCTGTACAGTATGCATTACACAAATCTAGCGAAGAAACACTGAGAGCTAGGTTAATAAATACACAGTGGCAAACCATGACTCTTAGAGCTAGGCCTTCAAAACTCTGTTAAAACAAGAGGGAAAAGGGATTGTAGTAGTTAGCACTAAGCTAATACTGATTCACATGAACATCTGTTGGTTGTTCTAGATTAAAGACACTTGAATCTTCTAAAAGGCACTCCATTTGAACTTATTTGAAGCTTGTGACAGACATATTAGCGTATATTTTACCTTGCAGCAGTTTTACAGGGGCCTGATACAGAGCTGGTGCCACTGTTTTGCATTTCTAAATTTCCACTGATTAAGCTGTCGCTCGTATTCACAGTCAGTGGTGTATCTAGGACTTACAGAAATGCCTACAATGGTGTTTTTTTCTAATTAAAAATTTTCTGCCTGTTGGAAATTAAAACGTAATAAGTTGATTCCTCATTCACTTCGTAATTATGCTGACGGTTATTGTAGCTCTTTAGGCCTTCTCTTCAGTTCACCAATCAGAGTGCTCACTTAGCTATATCTACTTAGATACCACAGAGTAACACAATTCCTGACTGGAATACAAGACAGGCCCTAAGGGCCTTATACAGATGTTAAATGTTAAATACAGATGTGATCAAATCAGACAGCCCACCCTGAAGTATCAGTCCCAAATCAGTTGTAGTTTTTAAAAGCTCCTCCCACCTTCAAGATACATCATCAGGAAGATGAAGGAACCTCAATATAGAAGCTATTGCGGTACCACTGTAGGAGGCGTTTTAGCATGTTTACAACAGATGGAGTGGCTGGAGCACCACTTTAAATGACCGCAAATACTGACAACACACACTTTTATGCAGGAGTCACACTCACACGCACTCAAATACAACAGTCCTAGGACTTTATTCATGATTATGACCATGTACTAAGGGCACCATTTTAATGAACTGAATACAGGTTTGTTCTTCTGCAGCATGATTAGCCTCCCTGTGGAACAGCAATTACTATGTTATTTTAATGTTTACTTTCTAACACAGTTTATTTATGCTTTTCGAGTGTCTTGCTTTTTCTTAAATCTGATGTGTGTTTGTGTGTGTGTGTAGATAGCAGATCTAAAGGCTGCACGTCAGCTTGGCTCTGAGATCACGGCGAAGGGGGCCTTTCTGTATGATCTTCTGGGCCATGAAGAGGACCTGAGAGAGAGCAGAACAGCTGCCATTGCACGACCACTAGAGATAGTGGAGACGGAGAGAGCTCTCAGAGCAGCTATCAAAGACGCGATGGTAACACATCCATACGCACATAAACTCTAATGTAGTGGAATAAACTGATAATGATAATTATCAAAAGTAAACATTTTTTGATTTGGTGCTAATTGAGTATAAAACTTAGATTGCAGCAAAAAAGTCCTCTGCAAGAATATTGTATATTTTTTAGCCTTATCGCCCAGCACTACTATAATGCCATAAAGATCTAGGTCTCCAGTTCTGGCTCTGGAAGGCTACCAACTGCATCTGGTAACTAAATACTGAGCTCAGTGAAAGGAAGAAGCATCAAACTGTGCTGGACACACTTTTTGGAATGATTACACTACTTGTCCATTAATTGGTTTTGGTCACTCACTTTCAAAGGAATGTGTGCTTGTGGTTGAAACTGTACACCACTAAGCTGAAATATGAAACCTGGGCTGGGATTTGGGGTTCGAGTAAGCAGCCAACTGACTGTGTGCATATATATGTAGGAGAATGTCCAGAAGACTAAGGAGCAGTTAAACAATGTATCATCTGATGAGGCGAGCCTAGAGGCCAAAATTGAGAAGAAAAAACAAGAGCTGGAGAGAAATCAAAAACGCTTACAAACACTGCAGAGCGTCCGGTAAGTCACACGCGCACATGAAGGCACAACCCCACACCCAGACATGTCACTGTGATGTTACTGTCTCTCACTGATGTTTTCATGCTACATGCAGTCCGGCATTCATGGAAGAGTATGAGAAGATCGAGGAGGAGCTGCAGAAGCAATATGGAACATACGTGCAGAAGTTCCGCAACCTCTGCTTCCTGGAGCAGCAGCTGGAGGACTACCACAGAGTGGAGCAAGAGCGCTTTGAGGTACAACCAGCAAACCGGTTCTTGTTAAAAAGCTGCACCATGTATATTTTTTATGACAACTGAAAGAAGTAGCATTACTGAGTAAAAAAAACAATGTGAATGTATTTTGGACTATGTCACATTTTTACATTTTGAAGTCACACACACAGAAAAAAGTAAGTTCAGCTCGATATTTAGGTTCCAAATGCAAAATCAACGTTCTACTGAAGCAGAAATAATGACAATAGTTAATCGTTCATTGACTTCCTCAGAATGACTTGTTCACCAAGTTTTGACTCAGTTCTCTTTGAATACTCTTTCAACAAATGCAGTCACTAGATTCTTCTGCTTTGGGAAGAGGTCTGAAGCACCAATGACGTTATAAAATGTTCAAATCCCAAATCGTACATAGTGTAGCTTTAAACAGCCTTTTTTATAACAAACATTAAACAAATTGTTTTTGTGCTGTCTAGGAAACTGAAAATTCCATAAGAATGATGCAGAATAAGCTACGAGAGGAAGACAGGAGACTCATGAGGAGTGGAGGTACGTACACATGCACATTGCATGTAAAATTGTATAGGAACTATTAGCTTTACAAAATGTTTAAATAAGTGGGAATGATGCCAAAGCCTACACATTTATTTATGCCTTTGGGACAAAATTTTTCTTATGTGCTTTAAGCTATAGTTTGGAAAACTGTCAACGTATTTAGGCAACAAATATTTTTTACTTAATTGAAAAGTAACAGTGAAAATCTAATGTTAATTTTTTTAAGAAGGCAGTGTGTGTCACTAAAGTTTCACTGGGTAGTGGGTAATACATAATTACCTGTTCACACAAACACACACACTGATGTGAGCCACAGTTTTCTTGTTTTCTCCTATAGTGCAAGAGGATGATTCTGATATGGATATCCCAGAAGATGAAGGCTCAGACAGTGATATAGAGGAAGGAAGACCACCCAAACCATTCCCTGCACGCCATACCCAGATAACAGGTACCCAAGCATCACACAGAGATATGATTACCTGGTACCAGGGTTATAACAGTTTTGAAATTTTCATTAGTTTTTATTTGTATTTAGTTCGTCATTTTGGTTTTTGATTTCAGTTTTGTTTCTGTTAGTCTTAAGGGGGCATGAATAGCTCTATTTCTGTTTTTAATTTCAGAAAAGTAATAATTTTAGTTTAGTTTTTATTTAGTTTTAGTTTAGGTTTTTAAGTATTACGATAAACACTGTGATTGTAGGCCTTTGATGAGGGTAGAATAAATTAACACAGCAGTAGACGGAGCTTGGCTCAGCTCAAGCTTTCCTTAAAGGCAGCCAAACATGGAGAAGGTCCACTTCTAAACTCTCGTTCACACACTGAAAAACCGAAAACTAAAGTTTTTTTCAGTAATTCTATTTCATTTTAGTTTTGCAGTGGACATTTATAGTTTGATTTAGTTTTCATGTTTTTGAAAATTGTCATATTTATTTTTATTTCACAAGCACCCTTTTTCACTGCTAGTTTTTGTTTTAGTAATAATTTTAGATAACTATAATAAAACTGCCTTGTGCCACTTCGTCTTTGGATGCAACCCAGTTGTATAGTACACCCATACTTCTCTTTGGATGCATCCCAGTTGTATATACAGCCCAACTGTATACACTAATGCTATAGAGCAGGGTAAGGGTGGGCGATACGACAGTATTTTATTGTTATCGTTGTTAATAATTTTGATATTATGATTAACAATATGCAATTATCCCTATCATCAGGAGATCGTGAGTTCGATCCCTGGTGATGCTACAGCCATCCGTAGCCGGGAGTCTAAGAGAGCACAATTGGCCTCGCTCTCTCTGGGTGGGTAGGATGGCCCCTCTCTCTCCCCCCATCACTTAACGCGATGCTAGTCAGTGCAGGCGTCTGTTAGCTGACGTAACAGATCTGGCGGTTGGCACTTTCCTCCGAGCGCGTTCAGCTGTCCAATGACGTTGCATGAGCGGCAGTTCGAAAAGATGCGGTGGCTGGTTTCACAGGTCTCGGAGGAAGCCTGTGTTAGCCTTCACCCTCCTAGCGTTGATAGCATCATGTGATTGGGGGTGCCCTAACTAGCGGGTGGAATTGGAGACGACTAAATAGGGAGATAATTGGGGAAAAATCCACAATTAAAAAAACCCCAATACGCAATTACCTTTATGTCACTAGTACTTAACAAAACACTCTTTACAAAGAATCTTTGTATTCATAGATTTTGATGGCTGTTTTTAAATGTGGCTCTACTGCTGCACAGTGTTTGTGTCAAAATATTGTGATACATATATCAAGTATTGTAAAAATGTCTTGAAGTATTGTTATATGATATTTTTTGCATATCGCCCACTCTTATTTAGGGGTGTCCAGTCTTGTCCTTATTCCAAACAACCAGAAGCACCCCTACTTGTTTAGTCATTTTTTTCCTCCTGCTTTGTTGGAGTGAAAACCTCGAGCCACAGCAGCCTTTTGCAGATAAGATTGGACACCCCTTCTATGTGGGGTATACTGTGTATCTTAACAGTTTAATAGTTTAGCATGTTAGTATGCACAATATTAATGTACTGGGCTGTTCTGTACTATTGGGAAGTAATGAACAGGGTTGGCTCCAAATTTTTTTTTTGATACTGATGCTAATACTGATATCTACACAATACCAATTCAAGTGATGGACTGACTTGAAAACTGGCTGCTGATGCTCAAACAGTTTGAATGCGCCTGGGCTGACTGGCACAGGGAAGCAAGGCTTGCAAGCAGAATGTTTAATTGCTATTGCTCATTTTCATTACCATTAAAGTTATTTATGAAGTTTAATATTTTTAAAACTTTTTGGTAATTTTTCTCTTTTGGCCAAAAACTGGAAAACACTTTTTTGGCCATTTTCATTGGCCAAATTTCTCTTCTTTTTGTTGTACCTTTTTTTTTAATCTACACATCAAAATTGGTTGTGGCTTAAAACAGACATTAGAGTGAGGTGCTGGAAGCGAGTATATTTACTCACTGTACTGATTGGAGGCTAATCAAGAAGACTTGACCTAAATAACATGCATATGGAATGTAATTTAGACAGCCAATCAGCAGTGTAGAATTAGGAGCATGCTTTTCGGCTCACTGATGCTGATAAGACTGGCTATAGAATAGAATTAGGTAGTGGATTTTGATACTTGGTAGTGCTGAACAATTTCAGGCAGTATCATAAAAGTACTGTAGGCTACTTTGTAATGATCATCTCATTTACACAAAAGAAATGTTTTGTGTTTATTTTTTGAGCCGCCATAAGGGCTCTCAGCTCAGCATCAGCCATGGTTTCAGCTTTCCTCTTTCTCCATTGCAATGCATTCAAAAATGGACCTTTTCTAAGTATGCATTGTAAATGTTCTCAGTATACTTAACTTTGGCACTTGAGAATATACATAATAATAATAATAATAATAATATAGTCGAAAAATGCAGTTACAGGACCCAGCTATGCTCTGTTGCACATACACACAATTGTTTGTTTCCTCTCATAGGTCGAGCTGGTGGGCGACTCATTGGCAACATGCAGGGAGGAGACAGTGATGAGGTGAGTGAGGACAATCACACACAAAGTAAGTCATGTGTTAAGCTGTGATGATGGTCTGTTTTTTTCCTAATGTCTCAGGCTCTCGAAATTTCACACAATACAGATTGAAATACAGATCCTGCCTGTCGGTTCTGTCATCACACATGCTTATCTTTCTCTCTGAAATCAACTCTTTCTCTTTTCCGCTCACTTTCTTCTATCCTCCACACTGGTTCTTTCACTCTCACTTGCTCATGTAGCACAGAGTAAAGGATACACTCCGTCCCCCCGGCGCTGGCCGGAGGCGGAAGAAAGGAAAGGTGTGTTTGTGTGTGTCTGTGTGGGTGTGTAGAAGTGCAGTTGTAGCATCAGTAGAATTATCACAGAGGACTAGAACACTAACAGTATTTGTCATTTGTGAAAATAAACCATTAGCTGAGACAGAGGTGGGTAGAGGAGCATGAAAATACACTCAGATGAAGTGTTGTTATATTAAATACTGATGTAGGTCGAGGTCAAGTACATCCAGCCAGTGGTGTACTTGGAGGTAGGCCTGGTTAGTCTTACAGTGCCAGATGTGATCTCGTAACGAGAATACATATCTGGTGACGGCTTGTTAAACTTCTTTCACTGCATTGCACCCGAAATTTGCTGCAAACAAGATTACCCCCTCTGAACTCCATCCTCTAATTCTTCTAGTCTGGGATCTTTAACACCCAGAATACAATAATAGTTAAAGCTTAACAAGCTAGCTTGCAAATCTCTATCTTTAGCTAACAGAACTGTTTTTGTCTCCATACATATGACAAGGAAGCTTTATGTCTCAGAGCAGGATAATGCAGTGTTCATATGTTCGCATTAAAAAAAAAATAGACCTGCTTTATTACAGAGTTGGTTTAAAACTAAAGACGTCATGTGACCAGCCCCCTGGGCTGAAACACTCCTTATAACTTCAGCGTGAATGGGCTGATATGTAAATGGCTTGCTTTCTGTGACATCATAGGAACAGTACATTCAAAATGGACTGTTGTTTGCAGCTTAAATTTCATAATTGACTGTATGGACTGGGGAGTGTCCAGTATGTATATATACACACACATCACACTCTTTTATTTAAAAAAAAAAAACTGAGGATAATATGGTTTTCCAAAAAAATGGGCCCTTCAAGAATGTAGTTTGCATGATGCTATATGGTGGGGTATAACCCTCCATTACTTATTAACTACATTAAGCTTGCAGCTCTGGTGGAAAACTAGAGATGCATTATTTGGACATGTCTTGGCTGATTGACTATACTGGGGGTAAGTGGGAAGCTTTTTAACACAACTGTTGCATGGAAATGAGTAAATGTAAGTAGTCACTACCCACCTCTGAGCAGGGAGATACTTTTATAAATATATGTATTTTTGTATGTTGTGTATAGAGTGTCAGTTTATTATTATTAGAATCTTTTCCAGTTTCCGTTTCTCTTTCCTGTTGTAGACAACACCTGAAATAGCTGCACGATTGTTTGTGTGTACATATCATATCTGCGTTTGTGTGCATTACAAGTTGTGTCATGTGTTGCTGCCTGCAGTCGGAGGACAGCGAGATCGATGTTGATGACGACGATGACGATGATGATGAAGAAGAGGAAGACGAGGCGAACGAGGACCTTGATGAAGATAATGACAGTCTGGAAGGCTCTGCCTCCAACCCCAGCCGCCCGGGCCGATCACTGCACCCTCAGATACTGGAGGAAAGTGACAACGACTTCTAAAACGCAACAGGGGAACTTGCACATTCGCATAAAATATGTATTGAACTTCTGTAACATTCCTGTACTGTTTTTTGTGTATACAGCCTTTATGCCTTTAAGTGAATGTAAATATATATTAGAATGATCAATAAATGTAATAAAATCTGCAATGAGATGCTGCATTTCAGTTTTGTTTTATTATGACAAAGTCGAACAAAAAAAAAAGTTTAAGTATAACATTTTTATATAAAATAAAATATATATTATTATACAGTGAGACACTGAACTTATCCATAGCATCACCCAACTGAAGAAAGTAATAAATAATGTTAAGTGCGTGCGTGTCTGGCTGTGTGTGTCTTAGATGTCCACCACACACTCTGATGCATCTGCTCTTATGGCATCCGAAACAACCTTCGCTCCTGACTCACCGATTCCGTTACCCTGGAGACTGAGAAAAAGGAAACAAACACAAAACATATACATCACATTTCCACACACAGACCCATTTTTTCAGACTTTTTTCAGTCTGCATTTTTTCTTTAACACAGTTTAACTAATCTTTTCTCATTTTGTTGAATGGTACTTGCATTGAACTGGATGCTCTTATCCATAGCAACTTTAATCGTGTTGCAGATGTAGGTGAATGCACTGTTACGAGTCTTGCCCAAGGACTCTTATTGATGTAGTGTGGTGTGCTTGTCCTGGTGAGGAAACAAACCTAAGTCTGCTTCTTGGAGAGCATCGCTGTTTCTCACTAGGCCACACCAACCACAGATGTCACAGAGACTGTATTGACTGTATCAGCATCCCAGGGAAGAACACCAAACACTTATCATTCTACATGTCTTTGTTGAAGATCAACTTATTAGCACTGCTGGCCCAAAGACGTAGTAGGCAGTATATTACAATGATGAATCAATAATCAGGCTGAAGCCCAGCTGTAAGTTGGTTTAGAATCTGTGATTGTATCCCTCTTGTTCAAATACAGCTATTATGAGTCACATAGATGCTAAGGATTAACTAGAATGAACAATTTATTTATCACAATCCATTTTGTTTATTACAATTTATCACTGTTTTTCTACAAAGAGTGGAAGTGGCCTGGTAGGTACCCCGCTCAGCTGCTGGACCCGGAACCAGCTCAAAAGGACATTACTTACATAATTGAGATGATTCCTCAAACTGGCCATGCCTCTGTGATATACCAGCCTCTTATCATAAATTTTGCACTGAGCATTTTTCTTGTTGTCTGATAAAGTGTTCCAACATGTGATTTGCTTCCAATAGTTTGTGCACCAACATGTGTGAGGCATCTTTGCTCTTTTAGCTTCAGTGGTCACTTAGAAAGTGATGTAGGTTGTTGCGCTCTCAGGTGAGGTGATGTGGATGCCTAGCTTGAATTTATGGTGCATTCAACCAAACCAGCTGTAATTTGTTTATTTTTAGCCTTCTCTGTATGCTAAAGAGATAATCGAATACTAATGTAATAAACAATTCCTCAAGTATTCAAGTATACAGGCTAGCCTTACTAATCAGTATAGCACCCCAAGAGAAATTTCAGTCCATCTAGCGGGGAATGTGGTCAGGTGCATTACCACAGGGCTCCTGGCACAGCATGTGGCACAGCTTGGATTTGATGAGCGCTAGGACATCTCCACTTTTGCCTCAGCAATTTAATCAACATTAACAGATACTTACTTGATATAAGTGAGTTGGTGGTTTCCTCTTAACGCAGTGGCGATGAAGATAGCTCCATCCATTCCTAAAGAGTTCTCCTGAAGACTACATGGGAATATGGTCATATTTAAAAAAAACGCTCATTCTGTGAAAAGCTTGTAAAATGAGAACCACTCATAAACACTCATAAAGCAACGCACTCACTTTAAACTTCTCAAACTCCTGTTGGTTTTCAGTGCACTGGAGAGAGCCTTGGCCCCAGCCATTCCAATGGAGTTGCCACGGAGGCTGAGAACATGATGTGATTCACTTCAAATTATGCACACAAATTATGACTCATATACACTCACAGATGTCTTTTTTAGAAACACCTTGTAGCTCCACCTTACTGATGTATAGTTAGAAACTGTAGTCCATCTGATGCACAGTTTGTGTTAGCCATCCTGTAGTTTCTGACCACAGAGCTGCTCTTGGCTGGATATTTTTGGGTGAACTCTTAACCTAGCAGTTACACTGACACATAAACCCCCCTCAACAGCACACACACTGCCACACCACTGCCATGTCAGTGTCACTGCTGTGCTGAGAATGACCCACCACCCAAATAAGATCAGATCAACAGGGATCTTGTGGTCAAAAATCTGTTCATTACCAATGGGGTAGAGGGTTGCAAGAGATGGGCTACAGTCTGTAACTGTACACCTACAGTCAAACCCAGAATTATTGGCACCCTTCATGAAAATTCAATTTTACTTGAAAACAGATTTCAAAAAAGATTTACACCCTATTATTAGTAGTTGGTAAAGCCTGTTCTGGCAAGAATAACAGCACTGAGCCACTTTCTGTAATGTTTAACAAGGTTGGAGAACACTTGTTGAGGGATCTTGGACCACTCATTTCCACACATTTCCACATCCTTGATGTTCTTTGATCATTTGCACGTGGACTGCCCTCTTTAATACACCACAGGTTTTCAATTGGGTTCAAATCTGAAGACTGCAAAGCCCACTGCAAAACTTTTATTCTGTGTTCCTGCAACCTTTTCTGTGTGGATTTCGATGTGTGTTCAGGGTCATTATCTTGCTGAAAGGTCCACTTAGACATGTTTCAGCCTTCTGGTAGAAGCAGACACATTTTAGACTAAAATCTCCTGGTTTTGTAGAATTCATTATGCCTTTAAATTTCACACGAGCTCCTGGACCACCAACAGCAAAACAGCCGCAAAGCATCAATAATCAACCACCATATTTGAAAATTGGCATCAGATGCATTTCACTGTATGCAGTTCCTGTTTTTGCCAGACATGATGATAGTGTGCATGACCAAAAAATTCAATTAGTCTCAGGTTGTCTCATCTGACCACATTTCATAAGTAGTTTCAATGACATTGACAAGTTCAGGCATTGCAGTTTGTTTCTTGCTTTTAGGAAAGGCTTCTTTCGTGGAACACTTCCAAAATGCTTCTGGTGATGGAGGTGGTGCCTGATAGTGGATTTTGAAATTTGATTTTGAGAAACTGAACTGTGCAGTGAAAGTCTGATATTCAGGTTCCTCTTTGTCTCTCTTACCACCCTCCACACACACAATGTGTGGGATGCTCATGCATCATCTTCCTGAAATTTTTTTTTTACTGTTCTAATAATGTTTTTTATTATCACCCTGATTGTACTTAATAGTAATTTGAACTGACTGCTAATTCATATATTTTTGTGGAACATTTGAATCATTATATGTTTTGTTTATTTTTATGTGATTGTTTCTGTCCAATTTCTTCATGGGTGCCAATAATTATGTAGATGGCTGTATACAGTGGATCTGTCAGGCAGATGGAGCTTATAAAGTGGCTGTGGGTGAAAGTACAATGTAGGCGTTTCTAATACTCTGGATGGAGAGTGTATCAAAGAAGGAAAATGACAGAAAAGGAGAAAGAAAGAACGAACAAGAGAGATTGACTCACTCCAGTGTGTGGAGAGTTTGGTTGACCATTAGAGCTTCAGCCAAGGCCACAGCTCCAGCTTTACCCGCCGATACACCCTGAAGACTGCGCACACATACACACACACACGTTTCCAAAAATGGTTCGATCGAAGGTTCGATTGCATCTACACAATTGCACCTCATATGTATACATGCATATATATATATATATATATATATACACACACACACACATACATACATATATATGTTTGGGAACCACTGACTTAACGCAACAAAACATAACTACATTCCCTAATTAAAGGCACTGAAGACACGACACTGAGGGTACAATACCAATAATAAATCATTTAAGGAGGATATACAGTGTCACTGATACAGAGCACCGCTCTTTCTTCTGAGTGAGTGTGTCAGTCTGTGAGGTACAAACCAGGTCCATGAGCTTCGTATCTAAACATTTACATCTAACATGTTAAAGGCTGTACAATAAGGTAAAACACACAGGAAGTTCAAATGAATGCCTCTGTCCGTAACCTGGCCTATTTACTGACAGTGCTGCTTTCCAGCAGACCACATACTGCACTCATAACTGTGTGCATGCATGAGCACATGTGTCTTAAACTTACTAGAGCACTGCGAGAGACGAGTTATCCTTTAGAGCGCCAGCCAGTGAGACAACACCATCATCACCCAGAGCATTTTCCTGCAGACTACAAACACACATATATGAATACAGAGTAACAGCAACTATCAACAGTACACAAACACACAATACAGACAGCATATAGTGTAGGAGACTGATAATAGAGTAACATTAGGCAATATCATCTAGATATAGTGCACCAGTGCTGGTAGAGGTATAAAATGACTGATTTAGAGATTTAGACAACACTAAACAGTCAAACTGAGAGAAGTGCATACAGTAACTTACTCCACTGTCTAAGACAGCAACAGTGTCGGGCAAAAGCAGTAAGAAAACTATTTAAAACTATTTATCTTGGCAGTAAGTGTACTTCTGCCAGTACAAACACTACATAACATTAGAAGAAATATAAATAAACATAAACACAGATTAAAACAAACAAAGATTTCTTTTAATGTTCATTAATATGATGGTAGAAGAACACAGTCAGAAGAAGTTAAAGGTTTGGTTCCTGACTTCTCGCTGCACTACAATTCAGCAAACAAGATGGTCCGTGGTATACTTTACAGACTGGCCAGAACAAAACCACATTCACGTTAATCTGGCATACACTGAAAAAGCTGAGCTGAATCTGACATCATGTCTATTTTTTTATGGCTCTATTCATAACTTTACTATCCCTTTTTCTTGGTGGAAGGAACTGCCAATATTGAAGCACATTTGATATGATGTTTGGGGCTTTTTGTTTTACTTTTTTCTTTATTGTTTAGAAGTGTTGAATAAAAGCAATAAAACACTTACTGTGAATAACACCATGGCTGTAGTGATCTATGGTACTCACCTTCAGCTTGTACATTTGTACTGATTGTAAGGTTAGTGACAGCTACACACATTGTTTTCTCATATGGC